TACAGTTTTGACACTTTAATAAAGGTATCATCATAATCATCAATGCAAATATTGCGTTGCGTTTTAGCGAGTTTGTTGACAAGAATTCAAAAATCAGCTTTTGTACATCCGCTTTAGCACGTTCGTAACCACGATTTTTTCAGTTTCCTTCGCTTCATTAGTATTTCAGTTCGGTTTCGTCAGAGCCGTTATTCAGTGCAAATAGCGATTTTGTGATAGCGCTTCATCAAGGAAGGAAAATGAGTAGCAGTACAGTGATAGACGTGTTTGGTCACATTCTTTACAGTTTTACTCGAGATGTATCAGAGCACTATAATCCAGATGAACCGGAATTTACTGAAGAATCTTTTGGATACAGTCCTCTGGAAAGCACAGGACGAGAGTGGTATCTTCATCCTGTTGAGGAACTTATTTACCAAGAATACAGCGACAGAGAAGCAACAAGCCTTGACTATTTAGCCTCTTATAGTTTTAATATGGAAATACACGACGCAAGTTCTATAGAAGAGAGCACAAACACCCCGGAGACACACCAAGATGACGACATAACCATGGCTTGGAGGCGACTGAGACCCTGCATTCAACGTACTATTTTAAAATCAATGTACTTCGGAGCTTTGATTTCGCTTTTAACATCTTTGCTTGTAGGGATGATATACACGCTGGTATCGTATATATCCTTTAAAACTATCCACATCTGTCAATACTACCCGTTAAACTCAACGTCACTACAGGTTCAATGGATGAGGTCAATGTCGGATGTAGTTGGCTGCGCTTTCCTATATATCTGGTTCTTCGCACTCTTAAACTTTCTCTTTCGACCCTTTCAGTTACGCGGTGTTAAAAGAAAACTGTTCTTTGTTTGCCTTATTACATATTTTCTGGACACCATTTATCGTGTTGCCCTCCAGGCTCTAGGGATATCTCATTCCTACGTTTCGTATCCAGTGAAAATTCCTCTCAATGCTTTGTTTCTTATCAATCAATGTTTGCAAGTTCATTTTTTAACCAGATGTATTTGTACAAGTTCACGAAAAAAAATCAGGGCTAAGTTGTTCTTCAAAATGATCGTACCAAGCTGTTTTAGTTTCTTGAGTTTTTTCCTTGTGGCATCCTTGATTTATCCGGCATACAACGAAGCAGACGTCGATAAAAAACTATTGATTGCAACTTTCGCCCCTCTAGTGGGAGTTCTTGTAAAGGTTACCTCCCGTATTTGTGTTCAAACGTTGTATAATATCACTCATCCGGGGTATTCTTACGTATTATTATCGCCGTTGTACTGTGGATCAGCTATCGTTTTTCGAGTTTTGCAAGCTGATCTTGGTA